ACTTCTTATACTTTGTTTTTATACTTTTCTGCTGGTTGGTTAAGACCAAGATAAAGCAAGACCTATGCAACAAAAGTTGTAGCTTTTGGGTCTGATAAGGTCAGTGAAATCTCCTCAGGATTTATCCTGAGATCCTGTACCTCAGATTGTAGATCCTTTGTCAGTGTCAGCCATGTGGATGAGTCATGGCCACTGCTTGGACAATGTGCTCTCTGTGAAAGCCTGAGAGAATGTTTTCTCTCCATGTGACTCCTTAGGCACACTCTACTTCATCAATCACTTTCCTTTTTGGCCCCATAATCTCCTTGATCAGAAAATTTGGGACACTATTGAGTTACATGATGTTACAGTACAAGTTCTCATATGTCCTGAGTCTTAACTGACCTTGGAAGGCTAGGGCCAAAATGTTGGCTTTCCTTGTGACCCTCCTTTTTCTCTTAATTTTTGGTCTGCAAACTTAGGTTGTTAACCCTCCAGAAGAGAAGCTTATTGTTATTACCATACCACTACAGATATTTAGAGGAGGAAAATTAAAAGAGTTCTGTGCACTGAGGTACCAAGAGAATGTATCATGGAAGAGGCTCTGTCATGAATTTAAACTGAACCTTAGAGCATAGAAAGTAGAGTTGAAAAAAAAGAAATAGGAGAGGGAAAATCCTGTGGGAAAATGATGTGAATAGTTACAAGAGGGAATGCACATGGCATGTTCAGGGAATGAGGAGATTTTGTATAAAACTGAAGTTTCAGAAGTCATAGCATATAAAATTGGAGATGTTTAATTCTACAATGTGGAGGACTGAATGCTACACCAAATGCAAACTTCATTTTGTAGACTAAAGAGCTACCAAAGGTTTTGAAACAGGGAAAGAGTGAGGGTTAGGATGTAGTTTTGTTACTATGAAGCAGTGTGTGGGACAGATCACATGAGGGAGACTAGAACAGGAAGACAGGCATACACTGGGGCTTTGTATTGTTTCTCAGCAGTTTCATCTGTATATTCCATTCCTAACTTACAAGGAGCAGAGATTATGTGCTAGGTGTCACTGTACTTCTGGCACTACTCATAGATGGGGATCCAAAAATGTCCTTTAAAATTAACAGAACAGGGGCCGGGGAGATGGCTCAGTGGAATAAGCGCTTCCCTGGTAAGCGCAAGGGCCTGAGTTCAATCCCCAGTTCTGCCAAAAAAAATAAAAATAAAATAAAATAAAATTAACAGAACAGGCCAGGGTTATAGCTTAGTAGCACAGCACCTGCCTGGCAAGTGTGAGGTCCTGAGTTCAATTCTTTTTTTTATTTATTTTTAGGGAAAGGACTACAGAGTGTTCAGGGTCTCACTACTAGATCGGACTTGTAGTGATCCGCCTGTTTACAGCCTCCCAAAAGCTGGGATTACAGTTATGCACCACCATGCCCAGTCTCAATTGCCAGTCTCAGTGTACCCCAGGGACGAGGCCGGGATGGCAAGCCACAGGATCGGACCCCTGGCCCCTGTGCCTGCTTGCAGGCACTTTAATCCACTGAGTTATTTGTCTGGCCCTCTTGAGTTCAATTCCTAATACCAAAAATAAAATAATAATATAAAACAAAATAAATACTAACAGGGCTGGCCAGATAGCTCTGCAGACTAAAGCTCCTGCTTAAGCAGGCACAGGCACAGGCACAGGGACTGGGCTTGATCCCCGACACTCTGTGCTGGCCCCGCCCCCAGGTGCGGACTGAGACTGTGATTCAGACTAGGCATGATGGCATGCCTCTAATCCCAGCGCTTGGGAGGCTGAAAACAGGAGGATCACTGAGTCCAAGCTGTGTAGTGAGACCTTACAGATCCTGTATTAAATGCAGAAGGAAGGAAGGAAGGAAGGAAGGAAGGAAGGAAGGAAGGAAGGAAGGAAGGAAGGAGAGAAAGAGTAACATCTGTGCAGATTTGAGAGAACTATTTTCTTATGATCTGGGGAGATAAGCACTCTCATGCAAATGATCATAAAAGAGACAAATAGTTACTATCACACAAGACTGAGTAAACAACCTTTGAAGAATTTTTTTTCTGTTTTCGGTATTGGGGATTGAACTCAGGCCCTGCACTTGCCAGGCAAACGCTTATTCTACTGAACTATCTCCCCAGCCCCTGAAGAAATTTCAAAGATATAACATCCAAGGTTTTAAGGCAAAAAGCAAAACAGAAACAAAAAAACCTCACTGTACTTGAGAGCATAGTTTAGTCAAGGTACTTAGAGAATTAAAGTTTATTAAAAACATATACTAGGTACTATGATCATCTTCCCTGGGTAATTTTAAGAGAAGAGAAGTGAACAGAGGAATTAAAATGACTTTGACATTTTATAGATTAATAAGATCGGGGTAGCAGACTTCCATGTATAATTATGTTATATAAGTCCTGGAAAAATTCTGAAAGTATGTTGTATGTTTTAAGAGTGTGTTCTGAAAAAAGAAAAAAGACTGTATTCTGGCTGGGAATGGTGGCACATGCCTATAATCCTAGCACTCGGGAGGCTGAGGCAGGAGGGTCACCTCCAGTTTGAGGCCAGCCTGGACTACATAGTGAGTTCAAGGCCAGTGTGAATTACAGAGTAAAACCTGGACACAACACACACACACACACACACACACACACACACACACACACAACTCAGGCCCTGCGCTGTGTGTGTGTGTGTATTCTGGAATAGGTGAATGTGCAAGGCTGCTTAATATAAAGATGAGTGGTTTATGAAGATTTAGAAGTAGCTACAAAAACACTTAACGTGAGATTTGAGCCAGGGATGTAGCTCAGCAGCACAGTGCCTACCTGGCAAACACAAGGTCACCAGTTGAATTTCCAGTATCAAAAAACTAGATGCAATGTAGCCAGGTGTGGTGGTGCACACCTGCAATCCCAGCACTTGGCAGGCAGAGGCAGGAAGACAACTACCAGTTTGACTCAAGTCTGAACTCCATAGTGAAACCCTGTCTCAAAAAGACCAAAAGGGGAGGAGAGGGGAAGGGAGGGGAGGGAAGGGAAGAAGAGAGACGCAGTTTGTCTCAATGTGAGGATTGTCAAAGGAGATGAAATTAAGTATCACTAGCATAAGTCATCCATTATGGGTTCAGGAGGATTGTCTTCCCTTCTGTGGTCAAAGATGAAAAAGGTATAAATATAGACCACAAGAAGACAGTGCAGGAAGGATGCCCTTCACGGAGAGTATGAATTGATAAATAAGGCAATAAAAGGAGTTGGGTGTTCATCTCTTAAACCTACCTGTATAGAGAGTCTGATTAGATTTGAGAAAAGTAGCTGGAGGGGGTTGGCATGATTGTAATAAGGCTGGAGGGACCAGCAAAGGCTTGTTGGCCTGTGCTTACATCCACATGGCATATACCCACCAGGTGCATGGCATATCCCCTCCCATCCTAACTAGTCAAAACCAAGATGAGCTGATCCTGGCATTGGAGTTGGAAAACAGAAGGACAAACAGTCCATGGAGAAGGGGAAAATATTACATATCCATAGCTACAGAAATGCTGTTACTAGAGTCAAGCAAGTAGCTGGGGCTTTGATGGCTGTTCATTACTGTGGGGCCATAAACACAAACATTCTACAACTAAAAAGCAGGCCCAAAGAGGGAACTGTTTTAAATGGTACATCTGAGCAAGGAGCTACAAAGGTTGTCCCATGATAGACTAAGTTTGGCCAAAGAATATACTGAGATTTGCTGATTTCTTTAGAAGGTCTATTTATGTATTATTTGGGGACTGAAGCTGATCCTACCCT